CGATTCCTGGGTTTCTCGGGGGCATAGAAAGCTTTGACATCTACTATAGACCATCCTACACCACCACCACCCTTTACCCATCGTGAAGCATCTCAGCCAAAATCCACTTACCGCTTTGTCGGCCCAGTTGTGCATGATTAAAAGTAGCATATATACTTTATAATGCAATGGAAATGTTTGTGATAATCAACAAAGAGCACTAGACAGCTGTATCGTCCAGCTTGGGACTCTGAACAATCGAAAACGGATAACCCAAGCTTGATGCTCTAAAAATGGATTGAGCCATTCGCACAAGGTGATAACCGTCGACCGTGTAGCTCAGGGGTAAAGGTTTGAAGTCCCAGCTCGACTGATCGTGGTTCGAGTCCTGACAGGAACAGAAAAAGTACGTGCACTGCTGACGAGTCCCAAACAGAACGAAACAGCTGCTGTCCAGTGCACTCTTTGTTGGTTATCACAAACATTCCCATCGCATTTGAATGCATTGTCTCGTGGGGAATTACCGATCTCCTAAGGAGCGAAACCCTCTCCCAAGACCATCAAGAGTGCTTGGTACCTCTGAACAATCCAATGCGCTAATCCAAGCTTGACAATCTAAATAGTATACATTCTCATTGATTTGAATTGTTTCACTTGATACCTCACCAGTGATGATTCAGTGTCTTTATGACAGTAAAACATATCACCGCGTATCTATCTATTTCCAAGCTCCCTGAAACAATTTCATGCGAATGCAGAAGCGCAGTCACACAACTATCAGCACACACACACACAAATGGCTATTCGGTGCTCATTGTCAGACGGAAGGAGTTGCACCCTTGTGAGCACCCTTGTGATGAGCTGCCACGTGACTCAATCATACATACGTTTACCGAATTGTGGCCCCAATGGACCGGAATTTGCTGTTTCACCCCTGATTGCTATTCAAGTTGTTGCTCACAGAAAAAAATACGCTTAAACATTCTAAGAATTCCGGTAGAAAAATTTAGAATTTTTTCTTTTGCATTACTTTTATTATTGCAAAACGTAACGAATTACACAGAAGTGAAAAACGTGCCACGACATACGAAGAAAAATCTGTAGAATGTGTTCATAGGTTGTGCAGGTATGTTACTCTCCGCTTGGTATGACCGAAGGAAGGGGATAACCTAGAGGTCCTAACCCGAAGCCTTTGACTAGAAAACCAGACCACCGTCCATTGTGAGTCGGTGTCCAGTTCATTGGATCATACTCCTTTTGGACGGGGTCAGACGTCCAAGGTGCGATTCGAACACCTCTTCTTGGATGGTTTGGAATCAGCGTTTTAAGCCAAATCCCGCAAGTGAACTGCCAGTGGTTCACCAACCCGGTTATAGCCTTCCGAATGTTGACTTTTTGTTCTCTCACTTTGGCGTGGGAAAACACCTCGACAACGCGAGAAGAAACAGTGATTAGGACTTTCTCAACAGAATTGGCTATTAGATACGCTTGGTTGTATGGGAGCATTTCATCAGGTGCAAGGGAAAGATGACCAGTCAACCGGAGACACCACCCAATCCCGACCGTACTGACGTAGTACTATTGATTAGCACTCACAATGCTCGAATACGTTTTAGAGCCGATTTGGTTATCTTAGTATTAAGAACTATTGGCGAAAATAATCCATCAGATCATTTCAACATGACCATCCTCAAAATTTTGACGATTCAATCCAAGTTGTATGGCTTCTACACGATCTGTTTCGGAAATACCTGACATGCGCGTTTGTTTGTTTTTTGGATAACGGGTATAGGATCCAGCACAATCCAGTCCGTGCACATGGTACAAAAACCGATCTTTCGGTTGGACGGTTGCATCGTTTCAACTTGTTCAACTGAATCCATTCAACCTGAATGTCATTGTCCATCCAGCTCAAATAGTGCATTGCCGAGAAAGGGAGGGGGGCGAAGGTGTCTCTCCCTCAAAATATATTCGAAAAGCCAACATGGTCACGTGACCACTGTTATTTCACTTAGATTAGACTAAAAACCCGAATTAGAAACCAACCAAGACAATGCTTACGAACCACACTTATTCGTATCTCCTCAGTTATGGCAGTGGTTACCGGCTCGATTAGGCATCAGGTGTATTGGGCACGTTGAACGTTTGACCCCGTCCGAAAGGTGTATGATTCAATGACCTGAACGCTATGCCCCCAATGGATTGCGGTTTTCACACACCGCCCCGCTACCTTGCGGGTCAGGCTTTGGCTAGCCGAATTCGCGAACAAAATTCACCTGACAGTATTCTGCCCACAACCAAATTATGGAACCATCTGTTTATGAAGATAATTCAAACATGATTTGTCTGGATTCATATGTGTGTGTGTGTGTGTGTGTGAAATATGTACAGTGCGTTGCCGCCATGGTTGTCGTTCATAAAACTACCTCCGGTCACTAAGCAGCAAATTCCAGCAGATAAAATGACTTGTACTTGGCTCAAAAATCTGTCTGACCGCGTAGCATCCCCAATCACATTCTGATCGGAGCTTNGTTGTGGGCCTGTGGCTGGGGCTAGGGAGCACCTGGACACTTATGTCAGTGTATGTTATCCAAACCGTGCTCACACACAGGTTGCAAATAAATCTCAGGTCTGTTCAGATCACTGGATCGTAAGAATTAAAATTTCACTCAAACACTGCTCCGTATAGCAACTGGTGTTGCCTGTACTTGAAAGATCAAAGGTTCTTAAATGTCACAATGAACCATGACGAAGGGGTAGAATGAAACCAGATCAATGCACTCCCGGACGGATCCTGGTTTGGGAACAACCTAGCTATAGCATTCTGTTTATCCAGTTGTGCCCACATGCTTAATGTGCTGCTCTTCATTTCCAACGCTGCATGACTGACTTTTTCATCATCAAACCAAGCCAAAGAATCACCGAATGATTGTGTGGTTATTTCTGAATCTACTTGGGCACTTTATATTCAAAATCGATTATCAGTTCTTTGTCATAATGTTCTAATCTTAGTTGCATGATGTAATATCAGTTGCTATGAGAAATCGTTATTCTGCTCTTAGCAGGAGTTGGTGTCATTATGGTAAAATCCGTTTCGGTCAAGTAATTTGCTACCAGAAAAATGTGAACACGTTGGTCGAAGGCATTGATTGTGGTTTCTTTCGCCTCAAATGCACTCATTCTTGCCACCTCAGTCTATATGAATTCTCTATTTCCCCCTTGAATTTGCTCTCAACATGCTAATCTTCATTCTGCTCTTTTATCCAAACGGGCGATCAAAAGACAACAACCGGTGCACGAAAGTGCATGGTTAATGGTTATAAAATCTGTAATGAACTCATGCTTGAAATAACTTAAGCGCACAACCTCGACTCATTTACATCATTTTGGGTTGCCGACATTCAAATCGCATTCAGCATGACTAATTCTCTTACCCCCACCTGGAGGAAAAACAATTTGAATTCAGCACGTGACTCACCAAAGCACGACCGATCAACTTTTGTACATCATTGAAGAAAACATCCAACTCCGCCAATTGGCTAGCGCTGATTGGATTACCATCCGGGCATTCAAATTTCCACTGACTGACCAAATGAATCATATGGTCCGCGGGAGCAGAACGTTTTGAATCGTAACGTTTCGGCGATTTGGCTCGATTCGACAAGTCACGTGATTTGGTCTGGTACACAAAGGCACGATGCACATGGGCTGAGTCAGAAGCCTTATTGTACAGTAGGGAAGCCAAACAGGGCACAGTATCCGCATGCGGTTCCGTTTTTCCAGGCCCGGAACGCTCTCGTTGCCTGTGCTGGTTTGATTTGTATTTGCACAGTGGAAATGCCAACCGTGCAGACCATATGGGTGAGAATAGCCGGGGTTGACACAATTGCACACTGATCCTTGTCACCTCACAGAACCGTCTGTGCTCATAGTGTGCGATAATCACCAAATGTCCGTGACCTATCGGTTGCCACTGCTGGGACTGGTCACTGTGGAGAAGATCCGCATCCAACCGGGCACCGTCAACCTGACGGACATACAGTTGTACTGGAAGTGGAGCTGATAATACTTCTGTGGTCAGGGAAGAATAGAATACACATAGGCCCTCTCGTTCTGTGCGCATCCATTCGGTTAGAGGGGCTCGATAACCGAATGAAGTCCTGTCCACTGCCGCAGGTTTGACCACATTCTCGTTTTCACTCTCCTTCACCGCGGTCTCTTCATTCAGACCATTACTCGGTTTATCCGGAACGAGACGATACAGTCCGCGAGATCGTAGCGTATTCTCATCCATCGATATTCGATTCGCTCTAATCTGATCGGAAACAAGTTGACGTTTCTGTACAAAATCTAACACTTCCGGATTTGTCAAATGAATCGGGTTCAGGCTATCCATGGATCGGGATCGTTGAGGAAATCGAACGGGTTGGAGTGTGGACAGGGGTCGCTTGGGATAGTGCAATAGGGTTGTGGCGTGGCGTACAGGCAATTTGGGGTGCACAGAAGGCCGATTGAATTTCGTACCGGGCCCATGTGGCTGGACGTGAGGTGTCCAATTGTTTAATCGAGCAGTGGGACGGACAAAGGGTTCCACCGTTGTGCTATGAGCGTCTACCATTTGTCAGTCAAGCGACGTGTGGACCTCCGCTGCTGTACACGTGTGCGTGCGTGTGTGCGTGCGTGCGTGTGTGCGTGCGAGTGTGTTTGAGGGAAGGGCGGTGTTAGTGAAAAACACATTGAATGAATTTATTTGGCACCGTACCAAACACACCTGTGTATAGCAAATGATGCGTGCCAGCGCACGGCAGTGCACTTAAATAAGTGAGGTCGACCGTACTCTGGTGATTTAAACCAACTGACACTATGGTGCCATTCATCCGCTGTCATCCAAAAACCGCGTCCAGGTTGATCGCAGTTAACCAATCAGATGCCGGCTCCCGTTGCATCATGGCGTTCTTGATATTGTTCATCGTGTGAGCCAATCAGCGTCCGATCACTTTCACCGTTGACAAATTAACATTCAGTGCTCTGTGTATATGGCTTTATTGATCAATTCAAGCCTGCGTTTCATCTTGGAACAAGCGTACAAACGGAGAGGCCTTGGGCATCACATTGATCAGTTGGTTTTCTTTCCGTAATCCCTGTCCGGATTGTTCGTCAGTCTTGAAGGAATACAAATACTAAATGTAGCCCCAAACTGTTACATTTGAAACCCAACATTTTTTTTTATTCAGTTGATTTCAAATGATCGGGTTTAATGATCATTGGTGATAATGAAAAGTTCCTGCGTTTCACCGGATTCTGAATCGTGAAGAAAATGAGAAGCCATATCACCGGGGCTTTTTCTGTCTATTCAGCTTGCTAATACCAAACTGGTCAAGCTTTATTTGCTTAGACGTCAGGGGTACCCTCCTCCGTCATTCCTGTTCAATTTCATCATAGAAGAAATTCTTGAGGACGCACCAAGTGCTCTCCAAAACGTACGTAATTAATGGGTAGCTGCAGAAATCCTGTGTGATTTGGAGTACGTCGATGACATCGTTTTTTTCGCATGCACGGAGGACGCGCAAAGCGCATTTGATGGACTAAAAAGTGCGATTGTCACATGCGGAATGTGCTTTACCTCTCCAAAGGGCAAAATGGTGCCACAAGGCTGATGCCGCATTTTCCCCTTATTTGAAACTCAATGGACAGGGATTAGTTATGGTAGGTTAGTTTTCCTACTTAGGTAGTTGCTTGACCAATGACGATAGTGCAGCAAAGGAGGTAACCGTCCGCAATTCCAAGGCTAGAGCAGCATACGCAGGACTGAAACACCTTTGGTGTAGATGCGACGATTCATTGAAGTTGAAAGGTCTTCTATATTGCGCTAGCGTTCGTTCCGTTCTGCTTTATGATTGTGAGACCTTAAATTTGCGAGTAAAAGATATCCGTCGACTTGAAGTTTTTGATTATCGGAGCGGACAGGTTAGTCATCTGGAAGTAAGCTGTCGTGTGTTTGGAAGTTTATCGGGGATAAATTTATTAGGGCATCGAATTCAAATTAGTAGAATTCGCTGGCTAGGGCACATATTACTTATGCCCAGCTGTCTTCTGCCGCAACGGGCTTCATTCACTCTAGCCGCTCCGACCCGGAGTAAAACACGTGGAGATGAGGCCTGAATAATTGCACAAGGCCGCTAGAGTAGGTGTCTTTCGCTTTCCAGGCTGGGATCCGAAAGACGCTGCAGCTCATTGGTTGGAGACACTGGCAGCGAACCGACAGCAGAGGCGTTCTTGTTGTTGTACTTTTCTATCAGGTCGAAATTTCTTGAAACGGTATGTATGCAGAGTTCGATTGTACACTCTCTGTGTGTTGACCATGGAGGTTCACCTTCTTCCCCCTCCCTCAAAGTAGGTCCAATCCATGTTCATCTTAAATATTATCACTAATCTTGTATGCGTTGCGAGTTTGGCAGCGATCAGGGAAGTTCGTTTCTCACTGTATTTCGCTGTACCATGGTGATTTATTTGTTTGACCAGACCACGTCGGAGATAGCATCGATCAAATCAATAGCGACTCCACGATGATAAGTTGGTGACCTCATGGCAATCTCCGCGTTTGCCGAGATGTGCCGTTTAACAAAACGAATCGCCTCGAACCAGAGTTCACAGAAGGACGATTTCGACGAATCAAAACTACCTGACTGGTAGTTGGGATTCCCATTCTGGGTAGTGGTGGCTCGGTGGTAAAGGTCACCAAATTATCACCCCGGAGGGCGTGTTCAAAGTCCACCCCACCGCTTGATTTTCTCCACTATGTCTTGTAGGAGCAGTCCTTTAATTGGCCACTTCCCCCTTCCTAGTGACAGTTAGATGCAATCAGACGACTTATCATAAATAATTGTTTTTATTTTATTTCTTTTGTTTATTGAGCATAGACGTATGGGGTCGTTTTTCAGAATGGGGGGGACACGTGCGTACAAAGAGTGCCTAAATCAAACAGAAATGAGGAAGGTGAGCGGTGACACCGACGGGTTTCGAACTCAGGACCTACGGATTATTATTTTAATGATCTTAATCATTTGACCACCGCCGTCCAACCTAAGTTTGTATATGATGCTCAGCAGACAGACCTTGAGTCCCTTACGTGAAATAGAAAACGCTTACACAGTCAGATGATCTTCATTCACATATGTGAGGAAGCAAGAGTTTGTGTAATGGTTGAATGGCACACATCATGGATTACGAATAACACATTGCGAATCACGGACGCTAAGGAAGCACTGAACCACATTGATACTTGCACAGCGGTATCCCACGTAACCGAGACACACGGAAGAGTCGGCAAAAGTAGCAATTCATTTACTGGAAGAAATCAATGGGTTTAAATAACATGTATAAAAGAAGTTCATTGATTATCCAGGCATCTACCAATCACGTGCTGGTATTCCTAACGTCGTGCAACTTCTGTCCAGGTCGCACGGCTTCTGATTGGTCGACACAATCGGCACAATCGCCTATTGTTCGTTGTCCAGAGGCTGTAACGCGTATGGCACTTTGCTGGAGTGATCTGGGAAGCTTGACTTATCTTCCTTGTCTGGAAACTGTTACATATCGCCCCGTGGTTCGCGTCATCCCGTAAGCTAGGATCACCACAGTTTGGCATTTACAGAGTTCCTATTCCGAATGAACGCGAACGAGCAGCAAATTATTTCTCAGATTGGGCAAATTCATCGATATCATTGACGTAGAACACAACGGAAGTAACTTCGAGCGGATCTGTGAAACAAGCTTTGAATGCTTTTGTGGTGATCCTAGCCTACGAGATAAAGTCAACCACGCTGCGATGCGTTACAATTTCTGGACAAAGAACCACAGGCCGATAATACTAACCAATCAAAAACCGTGCCGTTCAAACGGAAGCTGTATGACTTCAAGAATGCCAACAGGCCATTGGCGAAGACATGTTTAACCAATGACCTTTGTTTGCACATATTATTCAATCTCATTGATTTGCCTCGATAAACGAACTGCTACTGTGGTGACCTTTTTCCTGTGTCTCAGTGACGTTACAATGAGGGTCTCTGTTATCACGTGACGAGCCACTTTGGAAGACAGTAAACAGGAATCGGTTAACATTGACAGAACCAGAAATACCACAAACTACCTGAACATAGTCAAGGAGCATTCGAAGTCGATGCTAGCTTGAACAGAAGTTGATCTGTGTATTTGTGGTGATCCAGGCCTATGTGATGACGCCTAGCCTGAAGCGGCGCGTTACAGTTTCTGGATATCTGCGATCAATTAAATTTGAAAGATGACGTCAATGACACGCGTACGGCTTCTAACTACACGCTATAGGCGGACTGAGCCAGCCAATCCGAGACAGTACAGGCAGAAGCAGAATTATGCAAGCGGTATTGCAATCCGATCGGTGGACGCCTAGACAACCAATAATCTTGTTTTGTACATATTATTTAATTGCTTCCATTTCTTCCAATAAACTAACTACGTACTACTATTCCTGTGACCTTTTCCTCGCGTCTCGTTCACCTGGGATAGTGCGAGCTCGTGCCATTGCGGTCCAGTGCTTCCGTAATCCAGTCCGTGACAACGAATCCTTGATTCGTGTCATGTGATTCCTATTGCGTGGTTTGCATTCCGAATTCCGTGCGTACTACTACTACTACTATTACTACAATCATTACAGTATTCCAGGATAACAACCAGGCCGCACAACAGTCTTAACAGGTCCGGTTGTACACAAACTGTCACATACAGTTCAATACATAACCTGGCTTGATGGACTGTCAGATCATAATCATAACCAACACGATTGGGATGATATCGGAATATGAAATAACGGAAAAAAGTCGAGATGGTTTATCGCCTATCATTTTAAATACACACGCCACGACAATTTCGCGTCAGACATGAAACTGTATGTTCCTTTGTTTATCAATGCACTCACTTTCCCATCATACTTTATTGTTCGCCCGTTATTTTCCCTGGTCTACTTAGAAAGGACTTCATTACTCTACGTCGCGGTTTAGTAATTATCAGCCACGTTTCTCTTATTCCTTTACACATTCTGGTCACAAAATCGTATAATTTGCATATCACTTCATGCGAGAATTTCGCTCATAAAATACTCAATGACCCCAGTCATCCGCTCAATCGCGATTTATTTGCATGCCGTTCCCACGTTCCTTCAACCCGATCCAACTTTCGCTGCTTGCCCTCTCGCATAAACATTTACCGCAAATCAACGGTTTCCTATTTGGCACGTATGCTCACTGACACGGTGATGATCCGTAACGAACTAATTTTAAACTTACAAAGATAAACACTTATTTAAAGTATAACCGACCAACCCTGTGGTCTCAATTGGCATCATCCGGATTGGCTCAGTGCAAGAAGGCAAACAGATAAACCATACTGTTGTCGATTGGACATTCAAGAATCGACCAATGATTGTTTTTCGCTTGTGATATATATTTCCATGATTTTCGGAATAGAACTAACTGTGTATTCACAGCTCGTCTTGGTTCTACCTGACTTTGCGCTGTTATTCAGTGGGTTTTCAGTCCGATACCGCGTTTGGGCTCTATTCGATTTCGATTCCTAATCCGAATA